GCCAACCCGCGCCACCCGGCCGGCGACCACCCCGGGCTCGGCACCAGCAAGCCCATCAAGGGCGTCGTCGGCTGGGTCGACGAGACCCACCTGGTGGTCGTGGGCGCGGGCCTCGACGCCCGCTGGGAGACCTTCGCGCTCGTCGACGGCTTCCACCACCGCGACCGCCAGCCCGCCGTCCTCCGCGAGGGCTGGAAGAGGTACCTCGGCAACTAGGACCAAGCCCGAGACTACTTCGAGAGCCACCCCCTCACCCGCGTGCGGCCCGGCGCGGCCCAGTTCGACGCCCTGAGCTGGGGCCTCGCCGACGACGGGTGGGCGCTCGTCGACGGCTCCGACGACGAGTCCGACGGGTGGATGCCGGTGGATATGACTTGTGGGCTCTCAGCTTGGCTGGCTGGCTGACTGACTGACTGACTGACTGACTAACTTGACTGACTGGACTGAAATGGGAGGGCAACTTTGCGACGGGATTTTTTATAGCACGGAGTATATGGGCTTTTTTTCCCCGAGGGGTTTGGGTGGGCGTCGTCGCTTGGGTTCGGGAGGGCAAGGCGTTGCGATTACAGTCACAGTTCACTTTGCCTTTGCTTTTGCTTTGCGCTTGCATCAAGACTACAAACAGGACGCGTGCTAGCGAGGCCGTACGAGTTAGGTAGCGGTAGTAGCTGTGAAGGGTTCAGGGGGTATCTTTTATTCAGCGGTTAGACAGCTAGATAGATAGCTAGGTACCTAGACAGCCTCGTCAATCTCTATGCTATCACCGCGGAGATCTGCTTTTACTTCTCCGCCTGCTTTTGCGGTCTCTGTCTCTGTTTCTGTCCTTGTCCTTGTCTTCGTCTTCGTAGTGACGCGATCGCTTTTCGTGATGCTTGTCCCTATCATCCCGGTCTCTCCGTCGTTCTTTATCACGACGTCGATCGCGGTCCCCATTTCGATCGTCGTGTCTCCTCGGTTCGCGGTCTGCAGAATCGTCTCGTCTCCGTCGCGGCGGCGTTACTTCTCGGTCCTTTCCGGCCGGTGTGACGTCCCGCTTCGATCGGGCGGGGGTCTCGTCCCGTCTGGGCCTCCTATGCCGGTCTTCGCTGTCCCTATCATCCCGTCCAGAGCGATGGCCCCGATGACGGTGATGGCGGTGCTTGTCCTTTCTATCCCTCTTCTCTTTCCTCTCGCCCTCCTTCCTTAGCGCTTGCTCGACCTCTTTCTTCTTCTCCTCGATCAGGAAGCCCTTCATCGGATCGTCCTCGTCGTGCTCCTCCAGCAGCTTCTGCAGCTCCCGCTCCTCCTTGATCCGGGGCCGGCGTTCCTCTTCCTCGCTGCTCTCCGCGTCTTCCATGTCCACGTCCTCGCCCCTGGCCGCCTTCTCGCGCCGCGCGATGTCCTCCCAGCCGACCTTGAACTCGTCGGGGTCCTCGTCGTCGCGGGCCTTGTAGCGCGCGTGGTCGACGCGGACGAGGCGGCCGCTGATCTCGGCGCCGCCCAGGTTGTCCACGGCGAGGTCGCAGCTGCGCTGGTCCTCGTACTTGAGCCAGCCGAAGCCCTTGCTCTTGCCGGTCTCCTTGTCGCGCGCTAGCTTGAGGAACACGGGCTCCCCGTACTGCGAGAAGATGGTGATGATGTCGCCCTCGGACAGCTCGTAGGGCAGGCCGCCGAAGTTGACGAAGGCGGTGTCGCGGTAGTCGGTGTGCCAGGAGGCTTCGGGGGGGCTGTATTTTGTCAGTGTTCGTGTTATGGTTGTGGTGAGAATAAATGAAAATAGGGACTTACACTCCATTTTCGATCTCGCGCTTGTTGAGGGCTGCGATGGCTCGTACCTGATTCATCGTGGCATATACTATTATTATTTTGGTGTACAGTGGTAACTTGTAAGAGAATATAATCGAGAAGGCTGCGACTCAGAAAAATGTCTGGAGCTACGCTGCAAGGCTGCTAATTACAGGGACCAACTTATGCTGTCATCGCTTAAACTTCAATTGTACTGTACATTTTACCGTTGGTAAGTACCTGTACCTGTACCTATTGTACCTGCAGACTGAACACCCAAAATGACCCCTGCACCTATACCTGGGGAAACGTCGGACCGGCAAATGCAGGTGTCGATCCACTAAATCTCCGTGATTCCACCTGTTCCAGGGCGCTAGGTACTACCTAACATGCTACGCTTGTGTGCCCAGGTGGGCCTTGTAATCAAAATGCTTGTTGCTTTGGGAAGCTTCAAGGGGAATAAAATGGTATGGATCGAAGTAAAGTTTCTAGTGAATGAAAGGGAAAGCACGGATTGAAACAGAGTTGTGAACGTGAACTTTTTTTTTTTTTAATTGACGTCTTTGTCTGTTTCCTCCACTCCCCACTTCTTTCTGTAGTTCTCTCTTCTTGTATCTTCTTTCGTGTCTCATATTACTGAATATTTCCAAAAAGAGAGGGAAGAAAAAAAAGAAGAGAAAAGAAAAGATCGTCATAACGTGCCGGCCCAACGCGTTTTTAGCTACCTAGGTACTTAAAAGAAAGTTCTCTTTGCAACCCTTAAGACGCGCTTCTAAGGGTCCGACGATTATCGCAAACGCCGATACGATAGGAGAAGAGCTTCTATATCCAATGCTACCACTCTCGAGAACCCAAACATGACGGCCAATTCGAACCGGTTCTCCACGTATACGAGTACCTCGGTCGGTACCGGTACCGGTTCGGAGGGAAAGAAGGATGACAAGAAGGACATGTGGAGCTCTATGCTCGACAACGTCGCCAGCGGAAAGAGATTACCAGAGAAGAATCTGTTGGTACTAGGTATGGAGAAGACATCTCCTAAACCAGTAGATGTAGGCGACGGAGACTAACACCAGAAAATAGGAGGATCGGTAGACTCCCAAAGAGATTTCCTCGAAGCCTTATCCCGTACCGAAGGACGAAAGAACCTCGACAGAAATAACCACAAAACACCACCAATAGCCAACAGCTTCGCCCTCGGATACACGTACTACAACGTCTTGGACGCAGATCAGGAAGACATATTAGCACGCATTTCCCTCTACCTACTCACCAGTCCTGCGCCCTTCTTTACCTCCCTCGTCAAGCCCCTTTTGACGCCGCAATCCATCTCGAATACCTTAATAGTAATACTTCTGGACTGGTCACAACCCTGGTTATGGATGCGCCAACTACGAGAATGGTTGTTGCTGCTACGAACAGTCATGATGTCCCTGAGCGACGAGTGCAAACAGACCATGGAAGACGTCATGCTCAGCTGGAGAGAGCGCGGCCGGACGGGTAGCTCGGTAAATTTGGACGGTACAGGCGCCGTCGCTGCCGAAGGGGAGGTTGCGCTACCATTAGGACCTGGAGAGTGGGAGGACGGTCTAGGCTTACCACTCTGCGTCGTCTGTCAGAACGTGGGTTATCTCGGTCCCCTTTAAACACCAGGTACGGTGCTAACTTTGGTATGCTAGTCTGAAAGGATAGATTATCTGGAAAAGAGTCAGGGGTGGAAGGAAGAAAAGTTTGACCTTGTGTTGCAATATCTACGGACGGTCTTACTAAGACGTACGGTCTTGTCCATAACTTATTATTATATCACCTGCTAACATTCGACTAGACGGAGCTTCCCTGATCTACACCACACCATCCGCGGCATCGCCTCTACAAAGCCTCATCCATGCCAGTCTCGGAATCCACTCCTTACTAAAACGCGCCCCCCTAAAACCCAACGTCATCGACAGAGACAAGATCTTGGTGCCTCCGAACTGGGACTCGTGGGGCAAGATTCGAGTGTTACGGGACGGTCTCGACGTGGAACAGGTCAGCGAAGGTTGGTCCATAGACCTCGACCAAGACTTTCCCATGACCAAACATAGCGAGGCCATCGACGCCAATAACCACCAAATCAACGGCGACACGAATGTCACGGAAGAGCCCGAGGGGTCCTCTGTCGTGCTCTACGAAGAGCAAGTCCAGGATACGAGTTTAGAGGCCTTACAACTAGCCCAGGGCAAAAAGGACACGAGCAGGCTGGAGGTCACGTCGGCCGACACCCAGGCCTTCCTCGCCAGCCAATTGGAGCGACTCGACCTGCAGAAGAAAGCTGACGAGAAGTCTGGCAAGGATAATACCTTCGCCCAGGGCCAGACCGACGATATGATTAGCGACCACATCGGTCCGGTGCAGTTCAACATGGGCGGTATCCAGGTGGATGCTGACGACATGGTCCAGCGGCTCAAGGTGAGTTTCATCTCTTTTCATTTATATTTTCGCATTATTATAGGTATAGGGGTAGGGACTAATAGGTACGTTGAATAGGACCGCCAAGCCTACGGCCCCCCTGACCAGGCCGACGACGAGACGCATCTCGAAGAGGAGCCCGTGGATACAGATACGTTGGCCAAGTTTTTCGGCAATCTGATGAACAGGAAACCTACGGCTGGAGGGGGCGTGACTAAGACGTGATAGGCGGAGACGATACTACGCTCAAAGAGAACCACTCGGAAGGGTCACGACTCATACTTGGTTTTGACGAGTTATGGATCCACCACGGGTTCAACACGAAGAGACCGATCTTTCATTTGTAGCCAGTGGAAGCGGCAGCCACGATGTCGGTGTCGGTATCGGTATCGGTGCCAGGTAACAGGGGCTAAGGAGGGAGACGATCAAGCAGTGAAGTTAAGGGGCGACCAGGATATTTTAGGCGGGCTGAAGGAGTAAAGAAACTCGCATTAGCACTCGGAGTTATTCGGCTGTTCTGTTCTGTTCTGTTCCGTCTGCCTTTCCGTCTCAATAAAGCAAAGCAAGCGAACCTACCTACATTTACGGTTCGAGAGAGGCTGTACACTGTACGTGTAGAATAGATACCCCCTTTATCTTAAATGATACGAAAGAGAGCAAAGTTGATTTGCATTGGTTCTGTGATGTCGATGTTTGATGTTGTTCGTATACCTATGTACATATCACTCATACTGATATTCTCAATCAGGGGCTAAAGGGCTAAACAACAAAAAAGGAGAGTACACAGATGATTTCGTCCAGATTCGAACTGGAAACCTTCGGCATGTCAAGCCGACGTGCTAGCCCCTACACGAAACTCTTGCGGAGCTGGTGTCGGTTCTACCTTGGGTCTGCTCATTGGAATTATTATAGCATTGGACAGATCTGCAAACCTGATCACGACTACAAGGTGATGAGCAATCAAGCACGTGGGAGGAGAAGCAAACACGAAGCCAACAGCTACAGACAAGAGAGAACCGCAAAAGCGGTATTTCACTGATCAGCAGATCGAACTACTTCAAACCCACAACGGCGATACAGTCCACGGTTAATAATACTACGATACGAAGTCATCAGAATCCTGCTAACAGCTAACTTTTTCCATTTCAACAAGTAGCTATGCCATGTACGATACTATACGTGCCTACGTGTACTTATCAAATAGTACCTATCTGCATCCTTGAGGTCAGGCACCTACCTAGTCAGCGATGTATGTATATATACTATCCGTTACGTCCACGATGGTATTGGTATGATAAAGACTACCTAAATATTCATCCTAAAAGATTACCTAGGCACCTACCTACATGGGTAACGTGTTCAAAAATAAATATCCATCAAATGCATCAACCGCGAATCGAACGCGGGACCCATCGACGATTTGCAGTGGCAAATCGTGGATGGAGTCTACCACATAGACCATTGATCCTTGCGTGCATTGTCTGCGTTGCTTCTTGTGTGCTTGCCTCTAGAGAGGCCTATGTGCAGGAGTCTTATGCCTACCTTGATATCTAGATAGCAATCAGCTACTTGCCTAGGTAAGTAAAGTAGGTCGGTTTTAACATCAGGTTTAGAACGTCCATGATTACAGCCGTCTCATCACAATACCACATCTCACATCAGCGGCATCATATCTTTCCTCGGCTGTCACATCACTAGAAAAATGAAATCCCCAAAACGTACGAGGTAAGATTCATGAGACGAGTCTTTAAATTAACCTAGCCTACACCTATGCAACCGGCAAGTAATGCAAGCAAAGCAACGTAATAGCACACACGTAGCCCTATCCCGAGCCCCGAGCCACCATCCGTAGACGCCTTCCGTCCCCTCCCCTATGGTATCAGCCTCAAATCATCCATCCACCCGACCTCGTGAATCAAAGGCCATGCGACAAAAGCACGAAAAAAGGTACGTCGTGCGAATCCAGGTATGTTTCATCCCCGTGTTTCTGCAGAAGCTCATCTCGAGAACCGACAAGAAGCCCGTCTCGCCCGCCGAGCATCCGCTACGAGCGGGCAGCCCACGGCACCGTCACGTGGGTCATGTCGTCTCGATCTATCTCGCGGTAGGAACCATCCGGGCACGGAGCGTAGACACCCTGTTTTGATGGAAAGCCAGGAACTCTCCGATCGCGATTACCGAGCCAAGGGCCTACATTTTGGGGGTCGTGGTACCGGAGCGTGAACAGAGAGTGGCGAGGCGCTTGGAAGAATGGTTGCACCCAATCCATCTGTCTAACATCCAAATCCTTCCCGACTCCAATCCAGTGCCTGCCACCTAACTTCCACGGGATGATTCCGCACAGCAGGCCGGGGAAGAGGTTAGGGTGTTCTAGCATTTCGACGCCAAATGCGTTGACGCTTTCCTTAGCTAGGTAGGTGTACTTTTCGTCACCTAGCAGTCCGCCTATTCTAAATAGGTTGGATACGGACACGGCATTGACGGACGGTTGCGAGGTATCCATGGCGTCCTTGATTCGCAGCAGCGTGTACGGCGCACCTTGTACAGTGGAATAGAAGGCGCCACATCTCGCGCTGGACGTCGTAGGTGTGGGCGAAGGGTTGTCGTAGAACAGTTTGATTTGGAGGGTTTGCAGCTCGTCCGCCCACTCGAGCCACGACTGATCGGCGGTGGCTTCGTAAAGCTCGATAAGTCCTTCGATCAGAAACGCGTAGTCCTCAGCAAATGCCTCTATATCGACGCGGCCACCTGAGTATACTCGGTAGAGTACCTTCTGGTGGTCATCCCAAAGTTCCTTTTTGATAAACAAAGCTGCGTTCTTCGCTGCTTCTAGATACTTCAGCCCTTGGTGTTCCTTGTTTTCGGAGGATCGCCCGATTAGAGCCGAACCGAGTCTTGCTAGAGCGGCAATAGCCATGCCATTGTATGACGTGACAATCTTGGTATCGATCTCTGGCTTCACCCGCTCCTTTTCTCTATACACTCGTAATTTCGCTTTCGCCGATTTGATTCGCTGCTTAACTTCGTCTTCTGGGATGCCGAGCTGTTTACTCAGCCTCGTAGAATTCTTCACAAAATGAAGTACGTTCTGGTTCAGAAATTCGTCGTGGGGGTCGTATTCACGGTCGACGTTGCCGTGCTCCTGGACGTTCCAATACGCCGCAGCAATTTCACTCTCCTGTTCGTCACCAATCACAGCGTCGAATTCCTTTCTCGTCCACAAGTAGTATGCTCCATTGCCCTTGACTTTATCGCCTTTTCGGTTGTACGAGTCCGCGGCTTCGCTAGTGTAAAAACCACCCTTTGGTGACAGCATTCTATCGCTCAGAAGATAGTCTGCAATCTCGAGTACCTCGTCGAGGAATTCTTGGTGAATTTGGGGTACTTGGGAAGGTATAAGCCAAGCATCCAAAAACAGTCCTAGAAGCAGGGCATTATCTATCAACATCTTCTCGAAGGCTGGTAAGGACCAGTCTCTCGTGATAGAATATCGGTGGAAGCCACCTCCTATGTGGTCATGGAGTGCGCCGTTGGCAATCCTTCGTAGCGTGTGTAGGCCCATGCCACTGATGTAGGTACAGTCGTTCGGTCCTACTACATCCTGAACTGCGCTTGGGAATCGAGTTGCTCTGAGAAGCAGCGAGAGTTTCGCCGGAGTCAGAAACTTATCCTCGAGGCCGAAACCGCCGAACATGGGATCGAATGTTCTTGTGATGCGCTCGTACGCCTCTTCTATTTGGTCCAAGTCGACCTCGCCATAGACTTCACGGGAGTAGTCAATAGTCGTGGGGTTTGTTTCTCCTTGACCAGGTAGCGAGGCGGACTGCACTAAACCATCCCCCGGGTGGTTTAAAGTCCCCTCGGCCGAAATATGACTCAACTCGATCACGGCCCTTTTGGCTTCCTCGCGAACTCGGTATTCCTCGTCTACCCACGATGCGAGTACTTTCTGAATAACGACAAGCCAATCGAGGGGCTTGTCGACTCCGTCATTCTCCACCACTGCATTTTCCTGATGAACACCAGGAGCGGCCCAGTATGTGCCGCTAAAGACCGGTTCAAGTTCTGGAGTGAGGAATACGTTCAACGGCCAACCTCCACTTCCACTAATGGATTGGTTGTAGCTCATGTAGATGTTATCGAGATCAGGTCGTTCCTCACGATCGATCAGAATGGGTACAAAGTTCTCATTCAGTGAAGAAGCAACCTTAGGGTTAGAAAAGGACTCTTGCCTCGTCAGGTGGCAGTCTGGTGGTTAAGATTAGCAATGCACTGCCGAATCCTATGTGGCTGTTTCTTTGTATGTTACCTACAATGGGAAGCGAGGAAGCCGATGCTAAGGAATATCAGTTTATTCTCCCTCTTAGCACGGCTAACCGCATCATGGTCTAGAAGTTGCCATGCTACTGAGCTGTCCGAGTGAGCTCGTACGTATGGACTCTTGCTGTCTCCGGCACGGTTTCTAAGTGGCTCAGCCTCGGTGGGTTTTGGCTGTTCTGCTCCCGACTGAGCAGTTGCACCATTCGCGTTGTTCTCTGACGCTGACAACTGAGCTCCGGCCTGAGACGGCTGCTGGAGTTGTGCTGACATCATCTTGTCTTGAGTTGGCTGACAATCTTCTCACGCGTGACAGCTTGTGTCTTGGGTCTCTCTCTCACTAAAAAAAGTAGAGTGGATTGAGAGTAAACCGGGTGATACTCTAATCGACTTGGCCGATATTCCTCCTCTGGCCTGTGCTCGCAAGATATTTCCGTCTCCTAGGCCATACACCGAGTCACGAGCTCGAGCTGGAGGCTTGACGTTACCTACGAATTGCCACGATAAAGCTCTTAGATAAGGCTCTCGGGTCGGTGGTGCTCTTAGCTGTGCTCCTTATGGCTTCCTAAGGGTACGATTCGAGGATTAGAGTATGTCTCACAGGTAATAGGTAATATATAATATATATTCCTAGATAGAAGAAAATGGAAGAGGAATTGAGGGAAATGCAAAGTTAAAAAGCCCCAAGGCCCCCCCACCGTGCATCAATTCAAGCTACGACTTTGCCTTAGCGCCTGCTACGGCCGCAAGTTGGAGTCGTTAATAAGCATGATGCAAGTGGGCAGGTACGAGGATACCTAGACGTGGGGTAGCTCGTTCAGCACGAGCCTCTTTCTGCTCTGAGAGCAAGCCACACCCGCTGTGGGTCAGTCGTGCATAAATAGGTACTAGGTAGTACACAGTACTTCCATTAACTTAATTTTATTTAAGAGGTGGTGATGTGATGGCTTCACTTGTGCCGTCATAACTCAAAAGTCATTTCTACAACCTCAGTCGCATCTCATGATTTACTGTAACATAAGTAGTTATCTCACTCAAGTGAATTTATTCAGTGATAAAGTGAGAATTCTCATAACGACAAAGGTTACCTGTTATAAAGAAAATTGCATCCAGATGAATTACACAAGTCTACCTATGTCTAATCTATATATCCGTTCCCCTGACCTAATACATATATGTCGAAATCTAGTAATACAATTTCATCTCCAAGACAGACGATACAGGATCTAGCTCTTAGGCCGCGATGACAGGATCCGCGGTAGCAACAGCAGGCCCGGCCGACGTCGACGTCTCGGCCGCCACCACATCCATGCTGACCTTATCGAGCCAGACCTCGTTCTCGGCCACGGAGTCGCCCAGCACGAACGAGAACACGAACTGCAGCATCCTGTCGTCGTCGGCCGTGGTGTACGGAAACTCGACGCGGGTCCAGTTGCTCGAGGTGGCGTCGACGCGGTGCGCGACCGCGTAGTTGGCGTACAGGTCGAGGTACGAGTCGTCGTTGCTCGTGGCCCACCGCACCCAGAACGACACGGTCCAGC